TATATATATATAAAATATGTATATATCATATGTATATATATATATATTATATAATATATATTCATATATATATATATATATATATATATATATATATATATATATATATATATATATATATATATATATATATATAATATATATATATATATATATATAATATATATATTATATATTTATATATAAATATGTGTGCATGTATATACATGTAAATTTGTGACTCTGGGTTTCACGCTCTTGCGATCGTCAGACAAGGCGTGAAAATACAACTAAGTATGTTAGCTCTATCACCGATATTGAGCGTTTCCAATAAGAACCGCGCATATTTATAATATATTTTTGTTCATTAAGTAAACTCGTGGTTGTTTTTAGGCCCTTCTTTTATATTTTCTTATCTACATGTCTCAACCCCTATTTGTAACACATACCTATATCGTCTAAGACGACGTCTAAGACGACGTCTAAGACGATATAGGTATGTCGTTACAAATAGGGGGTTGAGACATGTGTAGATAAGAAAATATAAAAGGGCCTAAAAACAACCACGAGTTTACTTAATGAACAAAAATCAAAAACAATCACAGGTTCACTTAATGAACAAAAATCAAACGAATAAATGTCAACCTAACAAGCTATAAGATTAAAGCTTTAGTGGAAAAAGTACTAAGTATAAATTGGATTACTCTTTCAATGTTCTGCCTAGAGATCTTTCCAATCGACTGCTTCATGGGAAATACCCAAAACTCCACCGAATTTCAAATTAATTTCTTCGTAGATTGTTTTTAAAATTTTAGATATTTATCAAACCATAACCTCCCAAATATGCACGTTAAAGTAACGCGAACTGACAGCGTCTAGGAATTTGAATGAAACCTGTCGGATAATTTATTGGAGCTGTTATAACGCGTCTTCCTCACTGTAGCCTTTATCGCCCACCCCTTAACCACCTTTATCTAGAGACGAGACGCGTTAGATTAGAGCAACATCCAGCCGAAACACTGGGGTTAAAATAGAAAACTAAAATGATACATATGACACACTCACATCCTCTCTCCCACCTCACTTCCTCACTTCGTTAACTTTGCGTATATTTGATGAGGTCCGTAAAAAACCTGTGAATTTTCTTTTCATTCTTCATTTCAGCTTTTGGAAGTAAAGTCTGATGATCCAGAACCCTGTAAAAGGGGTTATGGTGAAATAGCTTATTACATGGAATCTTAACGTAGTCTGTCTTTTATTCAAACATATATGCTCTGAATCTTACATTGAGCTCTCTGGATATCATCCTCCTCAGGTCTACCCATACGGATTACCTAAATTTGAATAAACTATATATATATATATATATATATATATATATATATAAATATATATATATATATGTAAAAAAAGAAATGGACAAGGTCCGACAATTTATTTACTAAAGACATTTTTATGTTTAACGTTGTTATTTTATAGATACAAGACAAAAGGTTTATGATAAACAGTATTAAATAACATTTACCGGCCTGAATGTCCGAGAAATTTTCACGAAAAATTTTCGTTCTTTGACAAGTTCGAACCTGCATCCTATACGGAACCGTCATAAACGCTGACGTGCCTTTACCTCTAGGCTACAAAGAACCAATCGGTAGACAAGGTCAATTTACTGCTTATAAACTCCAATCTTCCATGAATCTCGTACATTTCATAACTGCTCTGGCGTATCGAATGTATCGAATGTAAACAAATGACGTCATATAAATAAAAAATGTCTTTAATAAATAAATTGTCGGACCTTGTCCATTTCTTAACATATGACGTCATTTGTTTACATTCGATACGCCAGAGCAGTTATGAATGTACGAGATTCATGGAAGATTGGAGTTTATAAGCAGTAAATTCGACCTTGTCTACCGATTGGTTCTTTGTAGCCTAGAGGTAAAGGCACGTCAGCGTTTATGACGGTTCCGTATAGGATGCAGGTTCGAATCCTGTCAAAGAACGAAAATTTTCTATGAAAATTTCTCGGACATTCAGGCCGGTAAATGTTATTTAATACTGTTTATCATAAACAGAGCATTTGCTTAAATACTTGTATCTATAAAATAACAACGTTAAACATAAAAAATGTCTTTAATAAATATATATATATATATATATAGTCCCCTTTAAAAGGTTTGCTTTTAAAGTCACATTAGATAGTTGTGTCTACTGAAGACATCATTAACTTATTAATATAAAAACATTCTTAAAAATGTGTTCATCCCAAAAATGTCGAATTAAAAGGATTATTACAGTATTAAAGAATAGAGATTATTAAATAAAAATATTTCTGAATTCTCACTGAAAAATAAGAAACTCATTCATTCGTTTTTCAAGATGAACTCAATAATTAAAAAATAAAAGATATGAGAATATTCTAATATTAAAGCAGAGTTGAAATAACATTGAAATTGGTTAAAACAAATATTTAAGTTCTAAACATTTATGGGAAATTCTTCAAATGAAAAAGTACCTG